GCATACTTATATGGATATATGTCAATCTCATATATCACAGTCTCATTTACATATTAGGACTGTTCACACGATAAGATAGGATCAAGATGGGCTTGTCCTAGTCCCGTCTTGATGAACAGGAATGAGATAAGAAATCTAGCTCGTATCCCCTTCTGTCTCGAGCTGTCTCGGTCTAGATCAGGATAGGATGGGATTAGGACATTCCATTTTTTCTTTTTTCCATTTTTAACATTTTGTTGCTTTGTGATTGGGCTTATTAAAATAAATTTTATTTAAAATTTTTTTTTTTAGTTCTTTGAATTTAGTCCTTTCCAAGAAAAACCCAAATAAATCACAATCAATAACACAATAATTCTAAAATTCATTTTAACCATTTCAAAAATCATCAATAACTATAAAAGCTCTAAATAAATAACAATCATTTAACTACATATGTGCTAAGAGCCACAAATATGTATATTTTATATTACACATGCTTTTAAACATTTTGTATTTTTAACATTTAACATTTATAATATGACCAAAAATAAAAAAATATCACTACCAGGATGGGATGGTCGGTCCCAGTCTCATTTTTTGTTCCGTCCTGCAAAATTTTGGAACGGGTTTATCTCATCCTGATTACATATCATGCATGAACCAAGCTGGAATAAAACTATAAATGTACATGACGGCAAATTTTTATTTCCTGGGAAACATTTTTGTTTAGAGTAATCAAATATTTGTGGCTTTGAAACATCTAGAATACCATGCCATGACTCAAAGAAAACAAATTATTTTGAATAAAAATTAAATTATCGGCATATGTTTTGTGCAGAGGGTTTTTCTTTAGCTCAATATATTTTTTACATAACCACAAATTATAAACTTATATCTCCAACATTTAGTTCGTTTTTCATTATTTTAAATTCATATAAGCGCTTGATGCATTTTCAATTCTAATTCACGCACGTTCTTCTTCTTTGAAAATAACAAAAATACTCTTAAAAATGTTAAATGAAAAATTAGAGAGTATGAAATTCAAAATTCAAAATATATACTAAATCAGTGCTCGCGTACTATTTTCAAATTTTAAAATATTATGAAATAATGTTACTTTGCTCTCATTTTTTTTGCTTTGTCTTTTCAGATGCTACGATCTCCAATAGGAGACCAAGAGCCGAAACTCCATAGTCAGTAATCACTATGATGTTTTTTAAATTTAAAAAATTAATTATTTATTTAAAAATAACTATATAATATTATTGGGTTTCATTTAAAATTAGACGCGCATACTCTTTATCACCCTCAGATCCTATATTTGGTATTTATTTTTTGGTGAATGTATTTGGTATTTATTTAACTGATGGCTTTGTATTTTGACTTGTAATGGGAAAAAATTAATCTGTATTAGGAAAAAAAATCATCTCCCTGATCGATCATAGATCCAATTAGAATTTACCATTTGGCACAATATTTTCCATTTACTTGCATGCAAAGCCTTCTTCTTTTACACACACACACGTACACACATTACCTCCGATCCTTAATATAAGACCTCATCTAATTTTTATTTTGATCCTAAATATAAGATCTCAATTCACTTTATCTCTCATATTTGTGTATTTTTTCAAAGATAATCCTTCTAATAATGATAGTTCTAGTAAATACACTTCATTAGTAAAGATATTTTAGGAAAGAAGACACTTATTTATTATAAATAACTAAACTTATTTTCTTAATCTCTTCAAATTAGTCAACTAGCTCTTATAATTAGGATCGGAGGTAGTATGTTTTTCGCTAAAATATAAGTATTTTCCTATTAAAGGCAATTTTATTCCAAGTACTGTTGGGCACTAAATGTGTGCACCTCTTCTAAGAAGGATTTGAATTTTAGTTATAAGAGACTGGCCCCTTCAATTAGATCCAATCACATTGGTCCTTCTTCTTTTATACTTTCAATTTACATTCTTGTCCTGTTTCTTTTTCTTCCATGACTTGTAATGGTGGCCCAACGCCGGATCAAAGGTCTTACGTAACTTAAATTCTTTTGGAACTATTCAAGTGAGAAAACGAGCAAAAAAAAAAAACAAATTTTATAGTATTTCTAAAATTAATGAGATAGGTAATCGTCACTTTCCGTCCTTGTCGCATAATTAATTGACATAATTAATATTATTATTTGAGCTGCCCATGTGCTTCTTTAAATTACACACACATATTTCTTTGGCCAAACAAGTACAGCTAATTTTATATATCATCTGTGAAGTTGATTAAATGGATTTGGAATAAAAATGTAAATCTTTTAGAAATATAATATTTTGAATAACACATTGGCGTTCAAGCAAAGATTGTAGCGATTTATTCAATGCATGGCATTTTTGTTTATGATTTTTGTTCAGATCATGGACGTGGTGTCTGTTCTAATCGATTTTTTTAATATTAATTTTACGTATTAGAAATTTTATTAAATGAAGTTTTACGTATACATCAGTTTTTTGGGTCAAAATCACTATTGCAGGAATATATATGTGTGTGTTTGTGTGCAGATATCATTTTAGTCTGCTCAAATATATTGCTAAAAATGACAAGGTAGTGGAGGTGTGTTATTTAGGTTCTGGCCCTTTCCATGCTTTTGGCTTTGTTTATATGTTTACGTCGAGCCTTTATTTATTTTCAATAAAAACTCATCTTCAAGGAAAAGGAGAGAAGATTAGATAATAAGATAAATTAACATCTATTTTCCAGTAACATTCAATATTATAATCTTATTAATGATGCATCTAATGTTATTTTTCTTTTGCACCTTTAATGTTATTTTCTGGTAACATTCAGCATATTCATGGTTTATAATGTTGGGTTGCTTTACTAATAATATTATCTTTTACTCTTAATGTAAGAGCTAGCAAAAGATTTAATTTATTCTCAAATACATGACTTCATCATTTTTTTCCCCTAATGTATTCCTAATGATAATTGCACATGTGAGAGAATTTCAATCAAATGATAGTACTAATAGTATATGATTAATAAAGATCTTTTAAAAATAAAAACACATAACTATTATAAATAACTAAACTAAATAATTTTATTTATATTTTTAAATTAATTATCTAATTCTAATATTAGAGATGATGAGAAATATAACTAAAAAATAATATTAAGATGCTGTATGAGTATTTTAATAATGATAATAAGGGTAAGAGAATATATTGATATATGCAAATGTTCCTCTATTATTGAATGGACACTGACACTGGGCCCCCATTGTCCTCTCGCATTGCAAGATCCAATTATATGTGTCCCTTGGATGGATCCACAGCATTTATACGTGCATAATATGTGTGTGTGTAAAGAAATCGCATGGGGAATCTTTTTCAGTTTTGTCTTTTTGAATATTTTGATTTAAGATATTTGATTTTTATTGAATTCTGTGTTCTTGTTGTTGTTATTATTATTATTATTTAGTAAAATAATTATTGAATCCTTTTTTGTAATTTCAAAATTAATAAATTTTACTAGATACTTCTTCTGGTTCAAAATAAAAGCTAAACTTTCCTAAAATAATTAACAAAGGGAATGGAAAGAAAAGAGGAAGGTCTTTAGTTATATAGTTATATTGAATTTATATGTAAAATCATTTTTCATAGATTATTTTGGATCATCACCATTTTATAATCTGAACTAACATATTCGTTGATTCTTAATAATAATTATTTTTTTCTAGGAGCGAATAATTATTATAAATGGTCATGTTCATTGAATATAAACAAGTTTATTTTCGGGCAAAAAATAAAAAATAATATTTATTTTAATAAATTTTTAAATTTTTTTGCATCTAATACCTGAAGAAAGATTAGTTTATAATATATTCTTTTCTATTATCATTCCATCGTTAACTAAGCTGATTAAAATGAATTAAAATTTTATATTTATAAGAAAAATTAATTTCTAACTCTCATATTTATATTTAGAAACAGGGGAGTATTGAAATGCTCAAAATTAACTTTTACGAATGTCAATGATATAATTTGAATAAAATATGGAATTTCTTTTATACTCATATTATCTTCCACAATCATCATAACGTATTTGTTTATTTATATGTTGTGCCACAATTAATTTTAAATTACATTTGAATAGTCAAATAAAAAAAAAATAGCTAAATTCTTTTTGTAGTACTACCTCCGGTCCTTAATATAAGACCCTGTTTGATTTTTATTTTGTTCTTAAATATAAGACCCCAATCCACTTTGTCTCTCATATTTGTGTATTTTTTTCCAAGATAGTCCTTCTAATAATTATAGTTCGAGTCAATATAGTTGATTAGTAAGGATATTTTAGGAAAGACAACACCTATTTATTACAAATAACTAACTTAACTTCTTTCCTTAATCTCTTCAAATTAGTCAACTGAGTCTTATAATTAGGACAAGGTGTAGTATAATAATAATTTCCACGAAGAGGTCATAACTAATGGCTTCTTTTGACTTGCAAAGTGGTCCAAAGCCCAGCTAGAGAAAGAAAGAGAAGTGCAACAAAGGGGAGAAGCCAAGAAAAAACTTGTGCTACCTAAATAATAATGTTTTTCTTACTTTTTTAATTATTAAATTATACTTTTGATATTTCACTCATAAAAAATGGGTATGATAATTACATTTCAAAAAATCAAAACTTAAGTTTATAAATATTTTTGTTAACTGAAAGAGATGGATAATTAAGCAAAACCTGTAGTTAGTCATATCTGCCTTGTATTGTTTAAAACTTATTTTAATAAATAACATATTTGTCTCTCAAATTTTTCATAAATATATTAAATAAATAATATTTCTTTTCTGAGAGCATATGGACTTTTTTGTTGAGGATAATTTTATTTTAAGATCCATTTTCAAAGTCAGCACTATAATATAATTTTGAATAAGTTAGTTATACTAATGACTTTGTATTTTGACTTGTATAAGTAGCAAGTCTCACGTACACGTACACCCAAAGAAAAAGAAATTTGACAAAGGCAAGAACAATTTATGCTAATTAAATATTAATAGTAATATTTTTTTTGAGTTTATCATACAAGAAACAACTTCCACCCCACAATTCAACTATGAGTAAAACTCTGATATAATATATAATATCCAGTTTGAGATTTCGTGATCTCAGACTAGAATCTTCCTACTTATGGTGATATATAATGATATATATATATTTTGGTCAAGCAACAGTTTAGTAGTTCAGTTTCTTCTTAAGCCGTTGGGATTGGACCCAGATTCACATTTGATGCTTTGAAGGCCTCAAATCTTGGTTCTTTGGCTTGGAACTTGAGCCTTGCGTAGAGATTCATGTAATCTTCGAACACAAATTTGGGGTACTCGTCGCTTTTCTCCTTCTCCACTAAAGCTGGAGCTGGGTAGATCACAGCGTCACTTCCTGGATTGAAGAATGAAGCTATGGACATTCTGGTTCCATCGGTTTGAGCGATCACACGGTGCTCCACGCTCTTGTACTTCCCATTTGTGATCACCTGCGTATTGAAGGAAATTTTTAATTTCTGAGAATCTGGAAGTTACAGGCAAGGTGTTCGATGAAATGTCTCTGAGGAATAAAACCTTGTGCGTTCTTGGCATTAAAATTTTATGGTTTTTTATATTGTTTGTCTTGTCAGATATATAAGAGTGAGTGATTTTACCTCGAGCTGGTCCCCGAGGTTAACGACGATGGAGTGGCGCATTGGAGGCACATCGATCCACTGGCCATCTTTGAGCATCTGAAGGCCGCTGACCTTGTCATCCTGGAAGAGAAGGATGATGCCGCCGGCGTCGGTGTGGGGACGAAGACCCTTGACAAGCTCTGGGTTAGGACAAGGAGGGTAGTTTGCAACCTTGGTGCCAAAAGTTGGACCTCTTGAACCATAGAAGGCCTTCTTGAGGTAACCTTTCTCTAACCCCAGATTTTCACAAAGCAAGTCTAGAAGCTCCTCTGCTAGCTTCTCTAACTTCAAAGCAAACTCCTTCATCACTTTCCTGCATGAATCATAATGAATAGTGATTTATAGTTAGATACTCAGAATCAATCAATCAAATATTAATAATGAAACAAATCACATCAAGATGGGAATTCTGTTCACATGGGGACCTCTCTGTTTTTGGGTTAATTATTTGTTAGTAGGGAATTCTGTTCACACTTCACATGGGGATTCATAAATTCATAAAGGGTTTGTGGATGAATGATTTTTTTCGATTGTGTGTGTCTATGTTATACCTGTACTCATCAGTCAGATCAGGGATCTCAGAAATGTTTGACTCAGGAAGATGTCGCAAATGGAAGGTGCTCTCCCAATCCATGTCTTTGACCTCAGTTTGAACAGCGTCTAGCCCTTTGCTTGCCACTAATTCCTTAAACCTCTCTTCCATGCACTTCCTGTAGTGTTCTTTGGTCAACCTCTCCACAGTGTCCATGAAATCATGTGGGATTCCATGATTCACCAGCTACAGTTTTTGATTTGAAAGCCAAATTAGAAAAAACCAACAAAGCTAAAACACAGATCTAAATCAAGGAATAACTTGAAGAAAACCCAGAAAGTTATTAGAAGGGAATACATGTATATACCTCAAAGAATCCCCAGTTTTCACAAGCATCCTTGATCTTCTCCATGGTGGCCTTCCTCTCATCACCATTGAGCTTGTCCAAGCTAATAACTGGGAAGTTAAAGTTCTCCATCTCTCTAAGAACACTTACTTTCTCTCTGTTTTTCTCTCTCTTTCTCTTTCTATCTCAATAGCTTACGTTGCTCAATGCAGATTAATGCTTCGTGAGGGTGGCATTTATAGGCGATGGTTTGGGATTAGGAGAGAAATATTGAAAATAATATAATATCTGATTAAAATATTTCATTAATGTGACCGAACTCACTACCTTTTTGTCCATTACACAGCTAATATAGATAGAAAGCTTTGGTTGCGTACCCCACTTGGAGGCTGAATTTCTTTCTTGAGAGTTTGACCAGACTCAGGGAGGACAGGCTGCCACTAAAGCACATTAATTACGCATTCTTCACAAGTTTTTTTTTTCTTCTCACTTTTTTTTTTGGGGTCTATTTTCTCATTTTGTGAGCTGAAGGTGATGCGAAGGAAGGAGCCGAGCAATTTCACTTCCTTAGCACATACAAAATTCCTACCTCTGATAATGGTCAATGTTTCTCTGGAAAATTCTTTTGTTTCAACTCATGGGTGGGTATTTATGAGTCACATTTTTATCGGTTAAAACTTCTTGCATCACAAAACATGAGTATATATAATTTTTAAATGTTTAAAAACACGGATAAGTTATGCACTAGTCATAAACTAAGAATAATAATATTTACTCAGATTCATTACAATGCATAATACCCATACGACCTTTTTAAGGAAACTCATTTTAACCTAAATATAAGACCCATTTTGTAATGTTATTTATACTACAAAATGGGTCTTGTATTTAAGACCAGAGGAATAACATATTAAACAATTAAAATGAAATAAAATACGGACCGTTCATATTATATATTTGGGGATAAGGAAAGTGACAAGTGTGATGCTGAGATGTTCACTGTCACATAATACTTATATTCTTCTGTATCAATTTCTCTGTATGGATTAATGTATTTGATACATAATCTTGTGTCTGTCCCTGTGTTTCTGTTCTTTTGGCGTAAAAAAGTTTGGTGAGTTAGGTTTTTGAGGTTTATTAGAGTCAGGACATGTCTCCAGACTCGAAAAGGACTTATAAAAGTATTTACAAATCGCCTATCAACAAGATTCTTGTAAATTATGTGAATTATGACTTGACTTCTTAGCAATTGAAATTGGTTGGTTCTCCGTGTCCCTCTTGAGTAGTAGAGCCTTGGGACATATGAATCATCTATGGTGGACTCATATTTATTTTGTTTTTGATTATTACTTTGTGTGTGTGTTTTTTTAGGAAGTTGAATGGTTTTGAGTTATTTTTATGTCGGTGTAGAATGATGTTGCACCATGTATGATATAAATTTTTACGTTTGGAAGCCTGTGTGTTCTCTCTAGTAGGGGAAAAGGCCACGGGTACAGAAAAAATGGGTTAAAAATGGAAAGCTTACTAAGATAAAATGCTTAAGTACTTTGAGTAATTGAACATTATTAGGAAACTTGAAACAACAATGAAGCTTCCCAAATGGTTATCATTTTAAAGACATCTTTTCAATTTTGGAATTCTTCATTCATTCATTCTTTTGCAGATGAAATTTCTTTTTATTGTACAAGTGACAAAAAAATTATTGCTTCCTAGTCATTCCTTCCATCAGAATTATTGCCATTTGTTCAAACCTTATCTCGTCAGAGGAGTAATCTTAATGGAACATCTTTTCTTTTTGTTTTACTAGAGAGCTAAAGATCTAGGTCCCATTTATTTTCGCAGATTATAAGATAAGTTGTACCATTCACGATTACTTTGGGCACAACTCTCTTAAGTGTTTGTTTTCAGTCGGGCAACACAGCCCTAACCACCATTCGTGATTTATTAATAACATAGCTTTTTTTAATTTAAAAAAAAGTTTAGATGAATTGGACATCGAGAGCTCACCAAGGTCAGACAGAGTATGCTTCCGAGTTCCAAGAGTGCTTACATACTTACAGATTGCTCATTAATAATATTCTCAAATTAGCAGTAGGATTTGAAATTACAATATTCTGAGTTATGAGTTAATTTCTTACCAAATGGATAAGCAATATAGCTTTTTACACTATATTTTATAAAGTGGATTTTGTACATACATATGGAGCTTGACATATAACTTGAGCGCTAAAATAAATTAGTTAACTAGTTCTTATATTAAAAATTAAATAGTATTTTTTTTTTTAATAACATGACTCCAACTCCCAAACGGTGATTTTTTCCATATATAACACATGAACCCTAGACATTAATTGCCTAAAGGAAACAAACATTGAACCAACTCAAATAAGGTTGGGAATAAAAATATCTACATCTGATCTTCATGATTTTCATTTTCCTCATTGCACTGTAATTTGTGGCCAGCCAACAATATCACAATGCGCGTTTGGTATCTCCCTTTTGATGAACCCATTTTCTTTACTAATGTGCAAAATTAACTTATAAAACTTCCATCACTTGGACACTCAGATTAAGTAACATTAGTATAATACGAAATAAATTTGAAATATTTGAGTATACGAGTACGTAAGCATAAAAAAGTGCTTTGCCTTTGAGAGACATACAGTACAATAATGTGTGTTTTAAAAGGAATCTTTCACATGTTGTAGTGGCTATCCACTTATCTGAAGCTTTGCTTCAAATTAGTGACAACCATTGTTTTCTACAAATTTAGAATTTTTCAAAAAATCATTTTGAATGAATGGTGACCCTTCTCTCTTCTTCCCTAAGTTTATAGATGAGGACAGCGAAGTGTCGACCATCATGTGTCATTATTGGACTCTATTTTTTTCCCATTTATGTTTTCTCAAACACTAGCAAGGTACAATGCACTGAATTATGAGTGCATATAATATAAAAATATAAATATATATTAATATCCAGTATTGTTGGTCATATTTGATCATTGTTAGGTCCAATTAAAAATTATTTTAAATACGAGTGAATAAAGATGATATTTTTAAAAAAAAATGACATACTTTTTTAACAAATTATCTTAATATCTGTAAATTAATTATCAAGCTCTTATTTGAGGCAGTAATTGGTGATGGTAGGTCAGCAATGGTTGTCAAAAGAAATATTTTCGGAAAAATTTATAGCCAGAATTGTTTGGTAAGGCAGAAAAAGGATATGATCAAATGAATTGGTCCCATAATGTGGGGAGATTGAAAGGAACTGTTTATATGCATGAATGTATCCGCTATTTTGTTCATGGATTCGAACAGGAAATAAACCCAAAAATAGAACGAGCCATCATTATTATTTGCTATATAATAAATAAATATAGAAAGATTCCAATGGCAGTTAATATATCTAATGTTTTTATTCAATAGCACAATTATTGCGTTTTTTGTTTTGTTGCTGATGATAAATAACCCAAAACTTGCGATGTAGAAAATTGTTATTTAGTACAATCTCCGGTCCTAATTATAAGAGCTAGTTGACTAATTTGAAGAGACTAAGAAAGTAAGTTGAGTTAGTTATTTGTCCTAAATAAGTGTTGTCTTTCCTAAAATATCCTTGCTAATCAAGTGTATTAGTTAGAACTACCATTGTTAAAAGGACTACTTTGAAAAAATATATATATAAATATGATAGACAAAATGGATTGTGGTCTATATTTAGGACCAAAATAAAAGTCAGATAAGTTCATCTTATATTAAGGACCAGATGTAATATTTACATTAATCACAAGTCAATTCCCAGAAGTACACAATATGTTGTTGAGAAATTGATTACATAAATAAACCAATGATCAATAGTGCAATTGCAAAATTTGAAAAACAACAATATTAATTATTGTACTTGTGATTACATTAAAACCAAGTTATATTACTTTTTTAATACATTTAATCTAAGATCCCACACTACCAGGTCAAACTCAAATATTGCTACGCTTAATTGGATGTAACTCTTACAATTTTTTTTTTGGCATCCACGAGAAACAAACCCTTGATCTTGTATCTAAAGAGAATCGAGTTGTTTCCACTTTAACAATAAAGTTAGCATCATTATTTTTGAAATGTCTATATTCTTCATTCATATTCTGAAGATTTGATTGAATTTAAGGTCTAACTCAAGAGATAATGAATTTTATCATAATATGCAAAACACAGCAGTGCAAAAGAGTATTTCTAAATTGAGCAATTTGTACCAGTTGTTGCGAGGACAGTGCAAGATATCTAAATCTTTTTGCACCGGCCATAAAACTGAGACTTTCTGTACAAACGCAAAAATGGTGTAAAGGTTTTATCATAGGCATAAAAAGACTTCTTTTGAGCTTATGTAAAGGTTCGAATCCCACTAAAAGAGGTGCCTATATTCAGTATTCGATAGTGTCTCAAACAAAATATTATTTCTAATAGAAGAGATACTTGTGTATAGCAAAAAAAAAAAACTTTTTTGCACTAGTGACAAACAACAACTTAAGATTAGTATCTTTTACTCTATGTTTGGCACGAGAAAAGTATTGGGGAGGGGATGAGAGAGAAAGTTTTAATGAGCTCGATTTAAAAAACTAAAGAAGTGAGATTTTAAAATTTTAATAAAGAGAATATATTAGATAAAAAAAATAATAAATTACTTAAAAACTTTTAACCCCGCTTCTTCAATTTAAAGCGAGCTCATTAAAACATTTTCTTTCCTTCCCTGCTTTCTTTTCCGTATCTCTCATACTAAATGGCCCTTAAATTACATGGGCTAAGGTAAGTATCTTTTACGTAAGAGCAATGTATATTAGAAAGTTTTTCTTACGTCACGCGAAAAAATTCTAAACAAAATTGCACATTAAGCCGCTTTACATTTAATGGTTATGAATTAAAGTTGCATGACCTATATGAGATGGATGTGGAGCTCATGGTAGGTATTTTCGGGAAGAATGATGAACTATGTGTAAAGTGGGCTCCGGCATATATAAGTGAGAAAGAAACAAAATTGACAGTGAGGACCACCATGAATACTGCTTTTGCATGACCTATATGAGAAAATGGATGTGGAGCAACATGGTAGGTAATTTTAGGGAAGAATGATGAACTATGTGTAAAGTGGGCTCCGGCATATATAAGTGAGAAAGAAACAAAAGACAGTGAGGACCACCATGAATACTGCTTTTCAGTAAAGTG